AAATCGTGTTTTTAAAAAGTAACTAAGTAATTAATTACTTTTGAAAATAAGTAATCAGTAAAGTAACGGGATTACTTTTTGGGGAAGTAATCAGTAATTAGTTACTGATTACTTTTTTCAAGTAACTTGACCAACACTGGTTATCAATGCCACTGAAGGAAGCACAGCTGCAGTTACAGCAGAGCAAAGAGCACCACAGTCACAGTAATTTGCATGCACTTGGTGGTTGATGCTGAAAATGCAAAAATATGTTTTTATGCTTGCTTCTAATCTCCTGCTGAGTCTTTTTTTTTCTACTGAGCACACATTAAAAAACTGATCAGTCTATTTGTAAGACAGTGTCAGACCTCATGTATCAAGTTTCAGAGCGCTAATGTGCAGCTGTCATGGCAGCACCAAGCAGTAAAATAATGATTTTCTGCAGCGTCGCCTTCTCACTGCGTTGCCTTTTTCTGTTATTTATATACATACATACATACATACATACATAATCATTATGTGTGTATATGACATAGACAGAGTTGATAACTACCATTGTGTAATTTGTTATCTGACTGGGTTTTTTGTTTTGTCAAGCCAGCTATTGCAAAGAAAGCCCAGCTGTGCTGAACTTGCTTTGTAGTACGCCCCACCGAACAGCAGATGAGTGAGGCTGTTGTGCTCACAGTTAGACTGCGTTCCTGAGATGACCATATTAAGTTGGGGTGGCTGTAGCTCAGGTGGCAGAGCAGGTCAGCCACTAATTAGAAAGTCGGTGGTTCGATCCCAGGCTGCCTCCTGGCTGCATGCCAAATATCCTTGGGCAAGATACTAACCCTGTTTGCCTACTGGTGGTGGTCAGAGGGCCTGGTGGCGCCAGTGTCCGGCAGCCTCGCCTCTGTCAGTGCGCCCCAGGGCAGCTGTGGCTACAATGTAGCTTGCCATCACCAGTGCGTCAATGTGTGTGTGAATGGGTGAATGACTGAATGTAGTGTGAAGCGCTTTGGGGTCCTTAGGGACTAGAAAAAGCGCTATACAAATGCAGGCCATTTACCATATTAAGGATATCAACTCTCACTGACATCAGTCAGAGCCAAGCTTAGAAAAAATCTGTGGGAGGATCTTACATCTTTACACGGATTGCTTAGTACATCAGTAATACATCAGTATTTCACACTTTTCTATGTTTAGCATTAGCATCTAGCACTGTAACTGTTTATGACTGAGAATAGAGAAAAGCATAGAAGATTATCAAAGTAGATATGCAGCATCTCTAGTCTCAGACATTCACCGGTTTCAATTTCATTTCAGTCTTGGAAGAAAAGTATTGCAGACGTTTAAAACCTGCGAGTTATCAGAGGTATAAAGTCTTAATTAAAGGCTTCGCTGTGCTTTAAATGAAATACTTGTTAGATTACTTTCTGTCATTTGTCATGACTACAAATGCAGTTTGTATGAACAGAGGAAAGGCTGCATGAAAAGTATACATGCAGCCAACCTGCTATTTTTACTGCTTAGAACGCTCAAAATATCAAGGTAACGTGATTCATCGATTTTTGAGTTTTCCCACCTCGTGACTGTTGTTACTTTTCTTGTTCACGTAATTACAATTTTCCTGTGAAGTTAATAATCGAATTGTTTGACTTTACACCAGACATCCTTCCTCATGCAACCCTCCAATTTGAGACTGCACTAGCAGTGAGAGTACACTAGCTGGTGACCCCCATTCATGAGGTTGGGGTTGTGTTTTGCTAACATTCACCTCATAAGCGAAAGGTCACTGGTTCACACGCTAGCATGCAACCCCTGTTGGTTATGAGCCTGGATAAATGGGAGGGTTGTGTCTGGTGTAAAAATCTGTGCTAAGCCAAATATGCACACCAATCTTCTGAGAGCAACTCTTTCATTGACCTGCAGCTAACAATCACCTCATTTTTGTAAAACCTGAATATCAAGGGTCACAGCTGCCAAAGTGAAACTCAGAGAAAGAAAACTGTTAGGGCAAAAAAACCACAGTTACCAAGGCACTACTGATGTTCTAGTATATAGCCAAGGTTTCATTTTCCACAGAATTATATTGCAGCTCTAACTTGTAGATGATGTATGTAAAGATATCTTTGACAAATTCTATTATAATCTAGCTTTAATGTTCACAGCAGATACATTTAAGACTGTATAGAAAATAATGCCAAACACTGAATGTCTGGAACTGCATTGCAGTTAAAAATTAAGCCTTTACATCCAACAATTTATCATTTTTTTGTAACATCTTATCCAACTTAGGATCACAGGGGGATGCTGGACTCTATCCCAGGTACACAGGGTGAAAGGTGGGATATTCCTTAGACAAGTCTCCAGTTCTCACATCTAGAACCATTGCCAAGTTAGAACCATCAATTAACCTAACAAACATGCATTCAGACTGTGGGAAGAAACCCAGAGGAGACCGACATAGGCTGTAGCTCCACACCAAAAGGACCCAACTAAGCAGGAGCTTCAAACTCAGAAACTAAAAACTGCACCGCCGTGCTGCCCCACTGCATTTGAAATGATTCAGGAAGATGTAAAACAGGCCTTTCACTTGTGGAAAAGAACTCACTGAATCTAAGAGATTTCAGAGTAGAAAATCACCTCCATATATCCTGTTAGCACTGAGGTGGAGAGGCAAATAGACAGTTTCATTCTTTCTTTCATTTCCCTCTCCATTCCCTTTCATTTCTTAGTAAAACAGCTTTGAAACTAACACATACACAAACCGAGTCCCAAAATGCCTTTTGTGGCTCTCCTGTCTCTCTTAAACCAAGCTCTGTTTCCTACTTTACCTTTTGCTGCACTTGTTTTAAAACAGGCAAAATGTACAAAACTGCGAACAAGCTAAAACGTCTCAAAAACATGACACAGCAGCTGTTGTGTTATATCAAACAAAATGGAACAAGCAGCAGTAGAAAAACTGGCATTGCATTTTTCTGTGCAGACTAAAAGAAATCTGTGCTCCCTACTGACAGACTTTAAAGAAGGAAACCACCGTTGATAGTGTGGCAAAGAAAGCTGTTTAGGGCTTCTGGAGTGCAGCCCAAAACCTATAATTTTAAGTGGGAACGTGTGCGGTTATTGATCGGGGAATAAACGTGTTGAAGAGTGTCTGAGCTGTCGGCAGGCCATGAAGAGTGATGGTAGCGTTGGGATGAGAGTTTCCTGAGAGTCTACAGCCAATAATTTCAAACTACCTTCTGTGTACTCCCATAATTCCCATAAATATAGCCTTTAATCATATCACTATATATATCTATAGGCTCTTTATAGTTATGGTTACTGACAGTATCCAGCAGTAGAAATGAGTGAGCAGAAAAGTCACAGTATGACAATAGAGAGGAAGAAATAATAATAAATAAAGACAGGATGTGACTTCATTTTCTGTAACGATAATGCCAAATAATTCTGCACATTACAGCATTTTATTTTTTATTTAAAAATAAAATAAATGTGACATTTGCTCTGACACATTTAGGTGTTTGGTGCAAAACCTACAATTACTTTGTAAGGTGATGAGCTAAATACTAACAACACAATGCTACCCCTGCCTGGTAATTACAGAATGCTGACGCATGTGCGACCACCCTTTGTCCCTTCCTTTCATAATAAAAGCCCTTATCATATACCGCGTATGGGTATATGATACCCATACGCGGTATATGATAAGGGCACTATTGTTTGGTCACTAGGCAACAAGATAAAATCATGAGATATCATGCATAATTGAAGTTTTGTTGATACAAATGAAATGTCATTCATACTATAAAACTGCATAAATTATAATATATATATATTATCATTTTATTGTGCATAAAACCTACTAATGGGTCAATTTAAGTGATGGTACGTGGTTGCTAGGCATCATATGGTATCACAATATGGGATGTCAAGTTTGTTTTTTCAGCTCCTGCTTGTGTACGATGAGTTCATGGCCACACACACAGAGATTAAATGAAATATAGTAAGATACATGTTTAAAATGCTATTGTAAAGAATGGAAACTAAATGAAGCTACTAAAATAGATTAAAGATTATGAAATATAGTATGAAGTAAAAAGCGGAATACATTTTTATGTTGACCAAATACATTTTATCATTTAAAAACATACAGAACTGACTTAAAGGGACAGTTCACACCCACAATTAAACAGATATTTAAACTGTTGGTGCAGGTAGCCCTCCTCTAAGTATATCAGGAGTATGCAGCTAGCTAGCATTACAGCTGAGAGGGGGAAGCCATCCTGCCATCTGACAAGCTCAGGGAGAGGCACGCTTTCTTCTGATGCGTGTGATTTGGCAGAAGGATAAAAGTTCCTGTGAATCTTGTCACATCAAAGTGAATATTTTTTTAAAATTATTTATTAATTTCTTTAGAATAAAAGTGACATTTTTCAAATATCATCTTTTAATTGATTTATTTTTTCTTGGCACTTTGACAAAGTGCTTTTTTGACTCCATTATTTTTAAGAGAAGGCAGACATCTCTGTATCCATTATCTCTGAAATTGTGATTCAAGCCAAAACTCTCTAGATGGGGGTTAAAAACGTGCACATTTAATTTTACATGTAATATTAATTCAGTTATGAAGAATAGGTGTATATAAATGTGTTTGCATTATTTTTATCCCATCACTCTAAAATGTATTACAGCTAAATTCATGCCAATAATTAGGAAGCTATTCGAACCCATAAAAGTAGGTCTTAAGTTGTCTGAAGCGCTTGTGTTGAAGGCACCTGTACTTCTTTTTAGATTCTTCAAGAAGACCTCTTATCTGAAAGGTGCTCTTATCTTCAGTTCTAAAAGCTCCTGGAGAGTCCCAGGTGTTTAAAAACTTTAGCACTTCTTCTTGTTTGGGTCCCTTTTTGACCACTTAAACTGATTGGAATCCAGAGGCTGAAGGTGAAGGTTGTGATCCCAGTAGTAGGTTTTGGAACAAATGTGAATGTGTCTCTTGCGAGCAACCTTGATAATGTGCTTGTCTATTGCAGGTCTGGACGACTGCTTGCAACAGTATGTGTGTGTCTTTGAGCGCGGAGGTGTTTGTGGGGAGCGGCTGCTGAGGATTAGCCACGCCGAACTTGAGGAGCTGGGAGTCTCTCGCATCGGACACCAGGAGCTCATTCTGGAGGCTGTCGACTTGCTCTGTGCCCTGGTGAGTTTGTGTGTTCTGCTTTGTGCTTCACTGTAGTGCTGAGCTCTCATTAGCAGTCTCTACAGCTGCAGCTTTAATGTATGCCACTGCCAGTAATGTGTTAGTGTCCTCCGTTAAACCCTGGCATTTCCTAATTGTCCCTATCTCAAAGTAAAAACAAATAGCCTCATTTTGAACATTCGGAGTTCGAAATTAATGCAATGAATACTTTTTTGGCTTGAGAAACATGAATTTATGTTTATTAGAAAAATTGATTCAGGGTTAGCAACCTCCTTTTTTAAGGAATATCTGGCAGAACATCAACATCAGCTGTACAAAGCAAGCAACACTGAAACTAAGGTGGCAATATATGAATCATAAAAAATGAGTTACAAATAAGTCATTCAAATGAGGACAGCAAAAATAAAGTCAACTTAAGATGATTAGCATTGTTTTTAGATATAAGATTATAAGGAAGATGAAACCTGAAACACAATGAAACCGGTTTAGGAAGAGTATATCTTAAAAAGAAGAAAAATAATTTCCTCAAATACCAAAATAGTAAATTGGGCAAACTGTTTGTTTAGCCAGACCATTAAGTTATCCATGTCATCTCAGCGCCAACCCACTGATACCCTTCTACACATCCAATTGATGGGTGTGGCTATTTTAGCTGCTTTAGTTTTCAGCCCGCCCTCCACTCTAGCTCCTCCTTTTCTCACTGTATCTGACTGAATCTGTGCTGAATGTGTTGTCATTAATCTCTGCTCTGTGCTATGTGAGGTTCTTCCTGCTGCGCTCCCTGCTTCTGACTTCCCGTGTATGCACATTAAAGGGTAGATCCATACTGTGAAACCGAATTTAACGCAACGCAAAACAACAGTCTTTTTGTAGCACTCTCGACTGAACTGAACTTGTCACCCTTCTCTGTGCAGTGCTTTTGTCTTCACTGCGTTGTGTGCTGTTTGCTCCACATCTCTGACATCTCCAGTCAATAAATCTGAATTAAAGTTCCTACAAGCAGATTTTAACATGAGGGCAGAGCAGATGATGAAAATGGCTTCCAGCAGCCTGGTCACATATTCATTCAGACAATTATTCCAAAAAAGAAAAGAAATCTCAGGAAAACTAGATAAATGTCACGATAATCATCATCATCACCCACTCAGACTGCGTTCTCTGAATAATTCCAACAACCATTTTAGTCATTGTGAGTCATTCATATCCATCATTTTAGTCGCCTCCATCGTGGAAGACAATAAGACAAAATGGAGCTTATTTTTTTACAATAAAATTGACCAATATGCAGCAGAATCTTAATAAAAGCTGGCAAACCTGCTGACAAATAATTTGTATTCATGAAGGTTCGCTGTTCGTGTTTATATCTTTGTTTACATCTAGAACTCAGGGCTGGAGACAGAGAGCGTCAGGACTCTGGCTCACAAGCTCGGCGCCTCAGCCAAGAACCTGCAGAACTTCATTTCCGGACGGCGTCGGAGCAGCCAATCAGAGAGCAGGAGCTCGCGGCGCCTCCCCAATGATCTGCTGACCTCTGTGGTCGACCTCATCACCGCTGCCAAGAGCCTGCTGGCCTGGCTGGACAGGTGAATATACTCTCTAAATTTGTCTTTGCGCACAGACGTGGTGTGTTTATCCAAAGGAGAGATGATGCAGGTTGGTGCTTTAGTTGTACAAACAGATTTTATGATTTACCCTTTGTGGTGTGCCATAGGGTATATGCTCGAAATCTGAGGATTTCCATGCTTGCAGACTGTTTGTGTTATTCAATGATTCACTTGTATGACAGCAGATCTAGTCATGCGAAAGATAAAAATGTGAACTACGTCAAACTTCAGATTTTAGCCAAGCCATGCAGCTCTTTGAAACCTAAATCAAATCAATATTTGTCTTTGCAACAAGACCAATTCTCCTCGGTACACTTGGCAGGTGATGTTTTTCCGAGACTCTTCTGTGAGTTTAGGCTGTCTCAGTGTCTTCTGTCTGATCCTCACCATCATGGAGCCTGATCCCAGACTCTGTGATGTTGAGATCCGGGCCAGACCACCTGTTGCAAGACTGAAGTTATCAGACACCACCCCGATGCTACTGTCTCGGTTTGGATTTGTTTATTAGCACAAAAATAGATAGAAAACTCGTTCTGAGTACGATCTTCTGTCATAATAAAGACTGTTCAAATTAGGATTGTTCAATATGTCCATGATGAAAAAATTAACAGTGTTTATGTAGGGCGATTAACACCACATGCTGCAGACACTTATACTGTGCAATGCTTTTAATTAGGGCCCTCCATGAACATAACTCAATAAATTTGTCTATTACATTTATTAAAACGGGACCCAGAGAGCTCAGAAGGCTTTGCAGTGATATTTTGATGAGATGACATACTGTATTGACTTAAGTTAAGAAAGTCAATAAGCCTTCAGTGGTCAGTCACTAGATATTTTGGGTTTGCTCAGCTTTTGTTCTACATTATTTGATCAAATTACTTTGAAACAAATGTTAAAATAACAACATTAAATATGGAATTTTTTTTACAGTGTAGGCAGAATTGGGTGCTCTGACTGGGGTCTCAGAAGATTTCTGCAGATGCATTTGTATTAAAACATAATAAAACACTGATTAAAATACAAGATTCAAAATAGCTGGGAACAAAGTGATTTACAGAGTGATGAAAACTTGGAAAAATACATGAAATGCAATATAATTAAATCACATATGATTAAAAAAGTACCTCTGGGGTCTGTAGGTAGGGTTAATATAAATAAATGAACAAAACAATAATAGCAATTTATGAGTGTTCATAAATTATTTAAAAATTTTTTATGTCAGTTTCACATTACAGTGGACCAGTTATGCATATAACCCTCAGGCTAGAAAGGTATACTGGGAATGACTTTCCCACCATTACTTCTGTGTCTCAAAAGACCGAATATCACGTGAGTTAATTTAAATTTTATTTTGTAATTTAACTCACAAATTTAAACTTAAATATTAACTCATCCATGACATGCAATGTGAAATATTTGCACTGTTTGTACGTTGCTGTATGAAAGGAATCTAGTATCTCAGATTATTCAAATATTTCTCATCATGTTTGAGTGAATATAAATACTGTGTATCTAGGTCTGGGCAATAAAACAATAAAGATCATTATTGTGTAACAGCTTTTACTTGACAGAAATATAAGATGGGTTAAATGTAAAGTCGAAAGAACTTGTCCATCCATGTTTTGACCGATGAAAAGTAAGGTCATTGATAATGAGAGTAGCACCAAACCAGTCATGTGGTGGAAACAGAGTTATAACCATGTCAGATTATGTTGACATAGAGCGTAGGAGGAGCAGTCAGCAGCAGCACATGTGCTAATGTTTGCTCTATTGAAGCCGTACACACAAGTACGTTAGGAATGAATGACTGACAAAATTGTCAAGGTCTGCAGGAAGAGCAGACTGAGTCCGATGTGGAGGACCCAAATGCAGATGTCTGGAGACAGAATAATCTTAACAAAAGGCGAGTGGTTCTTTGGCTGATAATCCACAAACAAAAGACTAAGCATTAAATACAAAAATGAAGTGAAAACTTTAAATTACATTAACTAAACTTGGAAAAATACAACGAGATACAAGGAAGTGGGAAACACTGGGAACGTGCTGACAAAGGACAAAGGGAGACTGACACAACAGGAGGGTGATTGAGACAGCTGGGAAACACAGCTGGACCAAATTAGACATAATGAGACAGGGGAAGCAAAAGTGAACATAAAGCATGTGGGATGAGGGACTATCAAAATAAAACAGGAAGCACAAACATATTGAGACTAAGACACACAAGATTGACACGGAAAAAAGGTAAACAAACATGGGGACATGGCAGACTTAACATGGAGCATACTAACATAAAAAAATACAGAGATGTGACTAAGGACAGTAGGGCAACACTAAGGGAACTATTAAACCTATCTAAACTAAACTAGATATTCATAATACATTGGAAAAACAATATGGGAATGAGAATAACTAATGAGCAAATATATAAATAGAATCTAGGAACATAAAAAAAATTCTCAAAGCCTAAAACAATGAAAATGTAACAAAATTCCAAACTAAACACAAAAACACCAGGTCCAAGACCCAGAACCATGACAACAAAAAATGTTCATGAAAACCTGCTGTCAAACAAGAAATACCAAGTGACACAGCCCAAGGCTCAAAAGATGAGGACATTGTTTGAAAAGAAGGATCAGAGCCTCTTTAAAGGCCTTCAAAGAAGCAAAGTAGCACACACTGCAAATGGTGTTGCAAACATGTTACCACAAAGACGGGTAGCAGCGTGGCTCATTTTTACCATCTTAAGCAGTGCCATATGCACAGTGCAATACTTTACAGTTCAAGGCAGTTTGTCCAGCACCATCCCTTGTGACAAAAAGTGAAGAGACACTGATAACACAAATGCAACGGCCTACTTTGTTGTAAAAGACACGATGCCAGTAAGCACAATCGAACATGCCGAATTTTAGCAGCTGATTAAAGTAATTGACCCCAGTTGCAAAACTCCATGACCATAAAAGGTCATTGCCGAAAAGGCTGGCTGTTCACAGAGTGCCTATCAAAGCATGGTAATGGAAAGTTGACCGGAAGAGAAAAGCGTGGTAAGAAACAAATGTGTAATCAATAGGGATAGCTGCACCCTCAAGAGGACTGTCGAGAAAAGTGGATTCAAGAACTTTAGTCAGAGCATCAAGAGTTACCACGAGCACACGTCTTCAGGAAAAAAAAGCTACAGCTTTCACATTCTTAATTTCAAGCCAGTCTTGAACCAGAGAAAATAGTAGAAGCATCGTGGCATATGGAGAAAAAGAACTGGAGTGCTGCTTAGTGGTCCAAAGTCCTTTTTTTTTTAAATGAAAATAAGCTTTGCTTCTCATTGGGAAATCAATGTCCTAGGGTTGGATGGAAGAGTCAAGAAACTCAGAATCCGAATTTTTTTAAGCAAAGTGTGATCTTTCAGATGTCTCCGATCTGGTGTCCCATGTCATGTGCTGGTCTTGGTGGTGGTTGGTCCAAAGTCAATGCAGCCATTTGCTTTCAACCCTAATGAAGATGCTGATTTTATTTTCTAGCATGACTTAGCACCCTACCACATTGCCAAATCTACTACAGAATGGTTTTCTGACCATGTTATCACTGTGCATGATTTGCTAGCCAAGTCATCTGTCTTGGACCTCACACAGAATCCATGGGTACTGTCAGGAGGAAGATGTGAAAGACTCCACTCAAATTAGCTTAAAGGCCACTTTCGAAGCAACATGGACTTTGAGCACACCTGTCAAAAGCTGACCCACTACATGCCAAACTAAACTGATACAGAAATTCATGAAAACCTAACCAAGTGCTGAGTGTGTAAATGATCATGCTTTTCATTTCAGTATTAAAAATCCTTTTTTATCCCTCAGTCATAAGGTTGATTGAGGTATTGTTGTCATCCTGCTGGGTAGGCAGGCAAGCAATATGGAAACCCAAGTTTGTGAATGAGATAACTGAAGAAGAACGTCACCTAGGAGTTTTTAATTGATACCATAGGTCTATCTACTAAACATCTCGGGCCAGTTTGAATCTCAGTAACCTTGACCTCAAGGTTAGAGGTCAGAGGTCAAGTTTTCTGAAAATCTTCTGCATGCAATAACAAGAACAAGGCAATGTGGGAATTTGAAATTCATACCATAGGTATACCTATGGTATGGTATGAAGGATGATAGGATACCATTGACTGCCAGCAGTATTTTTAATAATAATTTTTAATAATTTCGCATACTGGAGTTCAGATTTTCATGTGCTGTGAACCATGAGCATCCAAATTAAAAGTGATGATATTATAATATACTGAGATCTACTTGTGTAATCATAATCTGAAAGACAAAGAAGTGCATTTCAGTTTCTGTAATATGTGATGTAACCTTAACTGAAAACTTAACTTGGTGTCCATTTGTCCTTATTTTGGGACCTTATGTACAAATCCAAAAAATCAGTTAATCTAAAAGAAATGTTTAGGAAAAAACTAAAATAGTGACTGTAGTAACAAAACCTCTCTCACTTCTCTGTTTTGTACAAGGAAAGCACCAATCTGCAAAACACAAGCTCCCTCCTGCAGATGTTGGTTGTTGACATCGTTTTTGTGAAATATGTTTGTTTTTTTTTTGTAAAGGGATAATCTCAGACATTTTTCGCTCTCACCATGCTTCTCTCCTCACTCTCTTCTGTTGTCTGTCACTTCATTTATTCATGACTCGACACGATCTTCTGCGCACAGCACACACATAAGCTACACAACTAAAGGTCTTTGACATCGGTTCTTGAAATGCCAGGCACCCACACCTGTCCTCAAGCCAGCTAGGCCACAAAACAAACATTAATGCATAGAGCCTCAGACTCATAGAAACGCCCACGGCCTCGTAAAAACACACACTAGCAGACACACACCCACCTCGGCACGCACTGACACGCACTTATGCAAGTGCACACGCGGTCGCCCACGCAAAGTGATGCAATTGAAAATGGCAAAGCGACATTGAGATAGGGGTAGACTC